GGGTTCCTTGGGTTCAGTTCACTGTTTAACTGTTTACTCCATTTTTTACATTGGATTATTTGGTTTGTTGATATCTACTTTCTTGAGTTCTTTATATGTTTTGGAAATCGGGTTGGTGAAGATCTTTTACCATTCTGTAGGATGCTATTTTATCCTATTGATTGTGTCCTTTGCCTTATAGAAACTTTTCAATGTCATGAGATCCCATTTATTAATTGTTGATCTTAGTGCATATAAACCTGCTCTGTTTAGCAGGTTTAGCCAATGTGTTCAAGGCTGTTCCCCATTTTCTCTTCTATCAGGTTCAGTGTATCTGGTTTTATGTTGAGGTCTTTCATCCACTTGATTTGAGTTTTGTGCTGGGTGATCGATACTGATCTATATTCTTCTACATGCAAACATCCAGTTACCAGAACCATTTGTTGACGATGCTTTCCTTTTTCATTGTATAATTTTAGCTTCTTTGTTGAAAATCAGGTGTCCATAGTGTATGGATTTATGTCAGAGTCTTTGGTTTGATTTCATTGATCTACCTGTCTGTTTTTATTCCAGTACCATGTGGTTTTTGTTACTATCACTCTGTGCAGAGTTTGAAATAAAATTTTTTAATACCTCTTAAAGTTCTTTTATTGTGCAGGATTATTTAGCTATCCTGGGATTTTTGTTTTTTTTTTCTACATGAATTTGAGTATTGTTCTTTCAAGTTCTGTGAAGAAATGTGTTTGGGTTTTAATGGGGATTGTCTTGAATCGGAAGGTTGTTTTTTGTATGATTGCCATTTTTAGTATGCTAATGCTGCAGATCCATGAGCATGGGAGATCTTTCCATCTTATGATATTTTCTTCAATCTCTTTCTGTTGAAATTCAGCTTTAATCCATTGTGGTTATTTTGTATCTATTGAGACTTGCTTTGTGGCTGACTATATAGTCAATTTTGGAGAAGGTTACATGTGGTGCTGAAAGAAAGGTATATTCTTTTGTATTTGGGTGAAATGTCCTGTAGATACCCGTCAGGCCTATTTGACTCATAATGTCTGTTAATTCTATTGTCCATTTTGTTTCTATCTGTATGACCTATCATTTGGTGAGAGTGGGGTGTTAAAGTCTGTTACTATTATTATGTGGGATTCTATGTGCGATTTAAGTTCTACTAATGTTTCTTTTACAAATGAGGGTATGCTTACATTTAGCGAATAGATGTTTGGAATTGAGAAATCATCTTTGCGAGTTTGCATTTAATGAATATGAAATGCTGTTCTACATCACCTTTGATTATTTTTTATTGGAAGTCTATTTTGTTAGATATTAGGATAGCCACACCAGGTCCGTTTGATTGGAAAATGTATTTACAATCCTTTACTCCAGGTAAATGGGTTTTTTTTCCTCTTTTTTTTTATTTGGTAGAAACAAGTTTGCTTCACATGTCAATCCCAACTCACTCTCCCTCCCCTCCTCCCCTGCCCCCCCACCAGGCCCCCCAGCCCCCTACCCAGTCTCCACTCTGACCCCAGGGAGGGTGAGGCCCTCCATGCAGGATCTCCAGAGTCTGTCATTTCATCAAGGGCAGGGCCTAGTCCCTCCCCCCAAGAGTCCAAGCTGAGAGAGCATCCCTCATTGTGGGATGGGCAGCCAAATTCCATTTGTATGCCAGGGATAAATACTACCCAAGGCCCCTTAGATTACCTTGGCCTCCTCACTGACCCCACATTCAGGGTGTCTGGATCAGTCCCATGCTGTCCACCCAGCCATCAGTCTTAGGTCCAAAAGCTCCCCCTTGTTCAGGTCAGTTGTTTCTGTGGGTTAAACCAGCCCAGTCTTAACCCCTTTGCTCATCAGGTCTCCCTTTCTGTCACTGGGTTCCAGGAGTTCAGTTCAGTGTTTAGCTGTGGGTATCTGCCTCTACTTTCATCAGTCCCTGGATGAAGGCTCTGTTTCCCAGACTCTCTGGCAGTGGGATTGTTGGCTGGCACTTCCCCTGATTCATGTCTAAAATCCACATATGAATGAGTACATACCATGTTTCTTTTTGTGACTGGGTAATGTTTGTCTTTGAAGTTGAGGTTTGAGGTGTGTTTCTTGTATGCAGCAGAAGGATGGATCATATTTTCATATTCATTCTGTTAGCCTGTGTTTTTTATTGGTGAATTGAATCCATTGATAATGAGAGATATTAATGACCAATGATTGCTAATTCCTGTTATTTTGTTGATGTTGGTGGTAGTGTGTGTGTGTGGTGTGTGTGTGTGTGTGTGTGCAGTCTGGGGTTGTTGGGCAGGCTTAAAGGGGATTAGCAGGCAGGTGGTGGGCAGTGTTTTCCCTGGAGTTCCTAGTTGCAGCCAGGCCTATAAATTGTCAGAGCTGTGGGCCCTAGTGTGGAACCCTGGGGAGGGTGTAAAGTCAGGCTACTGGGCAGGCTTAAAGGAGTGTTAGTGGACAGTGGGTGGTGCCTTATCTGGCCTGGTCTCTGGTAAAGTTGAAGTCTTCTTCTGAAGTTGTTGATCCAGATATGGAGCCTGGGAGTGGGGGTGGGGTGGGGTGGGGGTGGAGTGGGGATGAGGTGGGTGGGGGGTGGCATATGTGCAGTGTGGGATTTTTGGGCAAGCTAAGGGGGTCAAAACTTGGGCAGTCTTACTTGGGGTTCCTAGGGCCATCATGGCTATCCTAAGGCTGCTGGGGCTGCCCATGGGGAAGAACCTATCCTTATAATTTATATGATACTAATGTGATACAGGACACACTAGTACATTTTTAAGTCCTACACATTTACTCTCTTTCTACGATACACAAATACACACAAGACAAACAAAATCCAAACAACAAACAAACAAACAAAACCAAAACTCTCCTTTATGTTACTTTTGCTGGTTGTCTCATAAACCATTCAACAGTAGCTGTCTTACCCCTATTTGGGTGATGGGGAATTGTCACAACATGGTCAAAAGAATTACCTGACAGCTGGGAAACCAGCATAGGACTGAATCAGGCTTCCTGAATGTGGGTGTCAGTTTGGAGGCCTGGGCAGTCTATGGGGCCTCTGCTAGAGGAACAGTATTTATCCCTAGTGCATGAATGGACTTTGAGAGCCCATTCCCCATAGACAGACACTGTCTCAGCCTAGACACATGGGGGAAGGCCTAGGCTCTGTCCCAAATGATGTGAGAGACTTTTATGATCACCCATGGGAGGCCTCATCCTCCCTGGGGAGCAAAAGGGGGAAGGGATAGGGGGTTGGTGGGGGGTATGGGAAGATGGGAGGGAGAAGGAACTGGGATTGATATGTAAAATAAGATAGCTTCTAATTTAAATAAAAAAAATAAAAACTAATGACTCATGGTGAACAATGCCTTAGGGAACTGGGAGAGACGCTCCAAGGAAAAAGGCAAAGGACTTTTTAACCTCCAGTATATTTTGTTGAGTAGATTATTCTTGGATGTGATTTTGTGCCTCCTGTGTTAAACATTTGCATCCAATTTATAAAACATGTGTGTTCTTTTTGGATGTCAGAACATTGCTATAGAACCCAATCTGGTCAGTGTGTCCCAAATCTGGATGTGGCCTTCGGCCTTGCTTTCATGGTTTCTCAGATACAATCTATCTACAGTGTGTGCCAGACAATTGTTTTTGAATTAGGTCTTGAGAAAGTTCTGGGAAATGTGCTTATTGACATTTGTTTACATGTTTTTCTGAACCCATACAATCTCCCTTGGTTCACGGCTTTCTTTGTTACATCTGTGTATAAAAGTGCACTGAAACTGAAGTCAGGTTGTCTACAGCATTAGCCTGGAATCCTCCCCATTCTTTCATGTCCTCAGGTCCCAGGTTCAGCAGACAAGATCTGCACAGGCCGACTGAAAAGTAGGTAGGGAATGTGACTTAGTGTTGCCTAAGCTGTTTTAGTTTCTTCTCTGCAGGAAAACTGTCAATTCTACCCTGGGAACTTATCATTAAGCCTTCATTCTGGAAAAACTTAATTGGTTTACCAGAGATGGATCTGTGCGTTTTGAAAACTGTGTGAAAGCTTTTATGGGTCTGACCCATGATTTGCTAATGCTTTCAATAGAAAATGCACTAAGAATTGACCACAGGTTCAATAATTTTCAATTCTCAGATACTTGTTATTTCAGAACCAATTTTCCTTTTCTCCCACTCTAGTTATAGCCATAATTTCATCTACAGATTTACCAGTCCCACACAGAGGGTCATATGTTATCCTGGGTTTGCTTAATCATCCGTGACTCCTGGCTTTAGTAATTTGTTGACAATTTTTGCTGCATTTATGTTTTAATAAGTATTATGGAAGCCATTGATAATATTTTCTGAATTTTTAGTATATAGAGTAATAACTATAAACAAAATGGGTTGATTATAAAACAGTATATTGACTGAGATGACTCTTAACCTGAATGTTAAATATAGTGTATTAGCTGTTTTAACATTGCGGTTTGTGTGAGCCCTTCAGTCATGAGACAGTGGTTAAGATTGTAATCAAGTCTATTCCATGTCTTCTGCCTCCAGAGCTTATGTTTTTGTTGGAAATCAAAGGTCAATATCACGTATCTTTCAAAATTGCTTTTCTGTTTTTTGTTTGTTTTTTTGAGGCAGGGGTCCTCAATGAATTGGGATCTTACAAATATAGCTTCACTGTCTGGGCAGGAAAACCCATGGATACCCTGTTCTTTATCCTCCCAGCACTGGGATTATGGACATATGCCTCCATACCCAGCCTTTGATAAGTGTCCTATGAATGTAAGCCCAGGTTATTGCACCTTCATACTAAGTGCATTTCCAGCAGAACGTCTTCTCAGTCCCAAGTCTCAACTTTTCTGAAGGCTTGTCTCTCAGTGCTACGTTTACCCTCTTCTTCCCTCAAACCCGACTTCTATTTTCCTCCTCTGGCAGTGTGCATAAATAGCACTTTCCAACACTATGAAAGCTAGCCAGTAAAGATGAGGCTTTTCAGGTCATTACCAACCTGGTGTTCCATATTGTGTCATTAACAGTGTCTTACTGGAAAGTACTGGAGGGTACACAAGAGCACTGGAAATAGCCTGAAATTGCATGAAGGTTTATGGGACACCATTGGCTGACAACTCAAAAGTATGTAATCCATTTCTGATAGTGGGTTTTTATTTGGTACCATGTGGTATGTAGTTTGGGTATTGTCCTCCTGTTATAGGGCATGTCAATTTAAAATACTTCTATATATGTGTATTTTATGACACTAAATTGCCATATGAGTTTTCGAGAGATATTTAATGTTATGTATTCCTCTCCATATCTTCCCTCTACTCTTTCTATCCCCATCTTATTTAATCCGTCTGTTCCATCATCTCCCTTTCCCTTTCCTCTTTAGGTCATTGCATCCTCTCTTCCCTCTCTTGCGTGATCCCCTCCTCCTCCACCCCATGGCTCCTTACTAGTTTTCTAACATCTTCAGGTATTGAAAATGAAACACATATATCTAATGGTGCAAAGTTAGTATTTACACAAGATAAATTGTGAAATATTCGTCTTTCTGGATCTAAATTATCTCACATAGAATGATTGTTTCCAGCCCCATCCATTTACCTGTGAATTATGTTTTTCTTAACTGGTTAATAATATATTCCATTGGATAAATGTACCATATTTTCCTTATTCATTTACCAGCTGATGGACATGGTGGCTGTTTCCATTTGGCAGAGGGCTAGTAGCTACAATATACAAAGAACAGCAAGAGCAACAACAAACACCAGGAAAACAAGCAGTCCAACTAATAAATGCACCATGCACCTAAGCAGAGCTCTCAAAAGTTGAAATCGAGATGATTGAGAAACATTTTAAAAAGTGTTGAGGGACTGGAAAGCTGTCTCAGGGTTTAAGAGCACTTGCTGCTCTTGCAGAGGGCCTGGGTTAGGTTCCCAGCAGCCCTACAGCGGCTCAGAACCCCATGACTCCTGTTCCAGGAGGCTCTGATGCCCTCTTCTGGTCTCCTCGGGTACTGTGTGCAGGTGGTGCACAGGCACATAGGCAGGCAAAACACTTGTGCATGTGAAATAAAAGAAATAAATCTGAGTTAGAATAAAAGTTTTCAATATAATTATAACATCAGGAAGGGCAAATTGAAACTACATTGAGATTTAATTTTGTCCTTGTTGGAATGGCTAAAATTAAGAAAGGCCAAATAATCAAACAAATCATAAAAACAAATGACAGCAGATGTTGACATGGATACAGGGAAACAGGCAAACAGATTCACCACCAGTGAGAGTGTGGACTGGTGAAAGCACTGTGCAAGTCAGCGTGGAGACTGCAAAAAACCAGAAATATCATCATACCCCATCACCCAGCTATACCGCTCCTTAGGCTCGTGTCAAGGACAATATATCTGATTGAAGATAAACTTGCTCATTCATCTTCATTGCTGCTCTGTTCACAATAGCCAGGAAATGCTTGTAGAGTTTTAATACTCACTAGATGTCAAAAATTGTAAACTTGGATAATTTAAATTTGAATTTAAGTTCCTGGATTCTACTGGCTTCCAAAATTCAGGAACAGTGGGAAGTAAGATGCATCCTTTGAAACTTGATGGTGCCCTAAGGAGAAGTGTTAGCGTGGTGAGTGAATCCTTTACACGTCAGTTCTTCCAGTGATGGCAGAGCACTCCTTGGTATAAGGTAAGACGCGAGGAAGCTGAAAGAACATAAGCTACACGAGGTAAGAAGAACTGGGTTTGAATTCCAGTTTACTCAGAGGTATACATTTGAGAACAAAAGTTAAACTTTCTGTGGCTCTCCATTCTAACTTGTAAGGTGAGGATACCAATAGTGATATGTCTAAGAATGTGTATGTGTTAAATTAGACAACATGCGATGCTGGCTACTATATTGCTGATAGTCAATAAATGTCCATGTTTTGGTGCATTTATCGATTATCTCACCCATAACTTTGTAAAAAAAAAGAATGCTTCATCTGATTCTGTCAGTAGTCAACAAGCTGGCACTGGGCATCTGCTATATGTAGGCTCTGCAATGCAAGCCTCCTCTCTCACCAAATTCGTAGACTAGTGTATATTACATTTCAGAATTTTGGTTAATGAAAATGTTGGGCACAAATGTAATTCACACACAGCTCAGATGTGTGTTATCAAAGTGCTCTGTGCTAGTTGGTTCTCCAATCTAACTTCTAACGGGAGGGTGGCCATACACAGACTTTACAACATTGAGAATCATTTACCATCCACCTATCCCCCCTTCTTGTTGCCATCCTGATTTACTCTTCACGCTGAGGTGTTTATAATGAGATGAGAATACTAATAATGACAATTTTGTCAGGTAAATAATGTTCAGTTGCACTTAATCTTATTCCTTGAATGACATGTTTTCTTGTGAGAAGTGAAGCAATGTCAGACTTGTGAACCAGAGTTTCACATTCGAAACAATGAGAAACCACAACTTCCCACCTCTGTAGCCAAGAGAAGGAAATCGCTTTTTTCCATATGACTGTCAAGAATAAGGAAAGGTATCTGCAAAATATTCTAGTCATGCCACTCCTAATTTTTTTTTACTTTGAAGGGAGATAACATCATAGGATGCAAGATGTATGCATCGTGGAAATGATGAGGCAAACGTCTATTTCCACGTACAACAGTCTTGGATCTCTGTGGGAGCATATTTGAGGGTCTCAGATCTCTTGGAATGCACACCGTGATGTGCAGCAAGTCACACTTTAACACAAAACACTTATTCAGCATAAACCAGCTTCACAAGGGCTGCACTGCCCTTCCCCCTCACTTCCACTTTCCACCCTCCAGCCCTCCCTTGAGAAGATGCACGCCTGTTCCATTTGTGCTCAGCACCAGCGTTGCCATGGAAACTTTCCTCTTTTTCTCTCCCCTCCTCAGTTACCAAGAACAGCCCTGGACTCGGTGCCAAGACCTCCTCTGTACAGACTCAATATCCTTTCAATGTTTAGACAAATCTGTTGGAAAACCTTGTTTACATTTTTTTCCCACAACACCACAGCTTCATGTCGGGGCCATCCATTTCCCATGGACCTACCCATGTTCTGGAGGTGATTTCCCTGCCCTTTATTCCACCATTGCTGTAAAATAAAATTGCATCATTTGGTCCTATTCTTACTAGGACATAAAAGGTAACTCAAGGTCACAGATTCTGCCCTGGCAGTTCTTTTTATCCAGTCCAGTCCAGAGTGTAATACTTTGTACACTAGACTTCTTGAAAACAAGATTGTTTTGCAAAAAAAATGTAGTGTTAACACATATTTAACATATTTAAAAACACAAAACTTTAAAAAAATTGGCTCTGGTACCATATTTGTTACAATACATCCATGGACTTAAGTTATGCCAGGCATTAGTATTCAAATATGTAAATAGTGTGTTGGCATCACATTGCTTAAAGCTACAGATATATTTTAGGCTGCAGATTTTCTGCAGAGTTATAATGTACTGTTTATGGTCTAATTCCTGATTCTTACACTCAAAACAACAGTAAAAAATAATATTAGTGGAACAGCATTTCATCTTTCTCATTTAAAAATTACCAACTATGCCTGTGGATTTCCTAAATGTTAAATTAGGTTTAGTAAAAATAAAATAACTTATTTTGCTTTATTGTAAGTTGAACAGTTCTGCCTGGTTGTCCCATTACTCTGAAACATCTCTTCATTGTAAACACATAACATAAAAAACTTACTTGGGAAAGAATTATCTCTGATCAACAGAAGGGGGAGCAATAGTCCCTCCTTTTTGACACAAAAACCGTGGGGTTGTTTTCTCACTTTCTCCCTAAACACAAGCCTCTTCCCTCATAATATCTGCTATTGCTTTTCTTCCCCCCTTTTCTATTTTGTTTTGAGGGGTGGTGGAGGAGGGGTGCCTAGCGGTGACAGAAGTAGGACCACCCAGTTCGATCAAGGAATCAAAGGTTAAATTCTTTCTGGTTTGTTGTTATCTCTCAGGATATAGTTATACGTTAGAAATACTTGTCTTCTACTGTATATTTTTCCTTGCAACAGTTCTTACGGGAATAAAATCCACTGCACCGCTTTACAGGGAAGCTTCGACATTGTGCAAGCAGTGGAAGTGAATGCAAGCATTTTCCAGCCTGCCCTGAGAGAGCCTCCCTCCCATTGTTTTCATTCAGAGCTGACTAGGAACCGAGCACATCTGAATAACAGAGTCTTTTCTGCCTGGCGCAATCCTGGATTGTTACAGTCTAGAGGCCAGCCATGCTGTCACCGGCACAAATTGATTTAACCATCAATTGCTGTGGTCATTAAAGCTGCTAAAAGTCCCCGCCAAACTGATGAATTGCAACTGAATGTGAAATGAGTGTCTAAGTCTTTTTCCCACCACCTCATATCAAAGGCTATTGTATCCCTGCAAAGTAAAGGGTCGGAGGTTCAGGCTGTGGTTCAACAATGGGCTCTGTCAAAGGACAGAGACCCATTCACTCAGGCCCTCCCAATTACAGTTTGCTTTCCATACCGTATTGTATGAAATTTGCATCCAACTAATACATTGAATTATTGGCATACTTTGGGTGTCAAAGGAGTCATTCAATGCCTTGTCCTTGAAATACGTGGAATCCAAAGCAGCTGTTGGTTCTTGTCTTGACAATGGAGCGATTCCCTGGTTTTCCAATGCCTGCAAATGGACTAATTTTCTCTCATCTTAGAGTTAGCACTCGTGGAAGTGATACACAATTTTTTTCCACATTCACAACTGTGAAGCCGTTTCTGGAGTTCTTGAGAGGAGATGTGGAAGAGGAATGGTATTGTCCCCGTCTAACAATGATATACTTAAAATTTTAAAATATTCGGTATAACTTCCTCGGGGTCAATAATTTTTCTTTCTTTTTTTTCTTAAAGAAAATGTAAGAGTAAAATGATAACAATGTAAAAGTAAAATCATCCTTAGGCATGTATTTAAGTGCTCAGAAAGACTTTTGTTAATTCTTTTAGGACAAGTATAGGTGAGAGTTTTTCAGATTTTATGGTTAAGCTCTGCAAAGGGTTATGAAATGACCACATAATGCACATGTATGCACATGCATACACATGCATGTTGCGGTAATACTTTCCTAACTTAGCTGGTAACTGAGTTTGTGGACATGACAGATTGCTGTAACTCGGTCCTATAGGCTATGATCTTGCAATGGTAGCAGGGAATTTCAAAAAGCATTGATCTTTGCAGAAACACTCCTTTGCTCTCCTTGGTGATAAATTTGTTTTTTCCTAGCAGATACTCACTGGAAGAGCATTTTCTTTCATCTCAAGTCTTGACTTTAATGTGTCACATAATTTGATTTACACATGCGATTGCATATGCAGTTTGAGCAAGTACACCAGAGAGTTCCTTTCCCCATCAATGTTTAGGTTTCTATTTAGGGGCTGGGCGAAGAGGCCTTGCTTTTAATTCCATGACTTTGGTTGTTTTCTCTTTTCTTCCCAAGCTTTGTGGCAATGTGCTTTAGTGTTTCCATGATGCCCTTAGAGGCAACTCTGTAAGAGAAACATGATTTGAGACACAAGGGAGGAGAATGCCACATCTAGTCCCAGCAGCCCCCAGGTGCTGCTTATTTTCCTTCCCTGGTTCATCCTGCCAGGAAGTATTATCAACTGAGCTAAGAACAGATGTGGAAAACAAAATAAAGCTGATTTGATGCTGTAGCAGGGGTGACATGGATAGGTCAGAAGAAAGAAAGCAAAGCCAGTGGCCACCATGGTGCCACAGGGAACAGAGGACAAAGAGGGAACCTTTACTTCAAGAGTCACCGCCCAGGTCAGGGGTTCAGGCCACACACCTATTAGTAATGAATTGGCAGACAGATCCAGGTTCGAGTTTCCCTAGCCTCTTTACTATAGACTGTGAGTCTCAGGTAACCGTGTGTGTGGATTCATCAGCGAGAACTGTTACATTGACCCAAAGTTCCAAATGACCCTTGAAGAAGGTCATTTGAGTCTTGTCTTCAAGGAGTCATTATTCCCCCTCCACCCAAAACAGGGGCCTGGGGAGCATAAGGCTCCCTTAATACAGAAGAGAACCCTGCCCCCCAGAACCTGACTCTTAATTACTAAGGCATTGTGACCTGGTGGTGACAGCGTTTCACCACCCCTTGATCTACAGTGTATTGGGGCTGGAACTTGATGCCAAATCAATTCTTAAATATTTTAAGAGAAATGGCAACATAAGAAACACTTTATTAATTTGTGAAATGAATTATACAGTAATACAACCTCCTAAATTCACCCAAATTTGCCTTTGGTTGATTATTCTGAACCAATAATTTAGGATTATTTTTGACCTAGTGTAATAGTAAAATTTCAGCATTTATCATGATTATAAATTTTTGTCTTGATTTCCTTGAATTGAAATGAAAAGCCTTTCTTCAGTTGTTTAATAAATGATATTAAGTTGTTAAAGTTTGAATAAAAGCTTACCTGAAACATATTTTTACTATAAATGAATGGAACAGTAGGGGATATCAATTTTAAACCTCATAACCAGTTTAAAATTTAGCTAAAGTTATTATTTTTGGTATAAAGCATTGTAACAATTATTACACAATTAATTAGCATTTTATTGAATACCTATTTCAGATAGTTTGATGAGAATTTTGGCATTATTTCCTTCAATAAAACTCAAGAGAACAGTAAACTTACCTGCTTCATTTTCTAAAAATTACTTACATATAATTTGCAGTTTGGGAAATATGCATGTAGTGAATGAATACAGTTTGACAATACTATTATAGTGAGATGTACAAGACAGGTATATGTGCACATTTTACAGTTGAGGGAAACTGAGAATTAGAGTCTATTAGTCTGTTACTGGGAAGATGCACCAGGACTCAAAGTCACTAACCATACAACCATGAGACAAGAGTTCAAATTCCATCATTACTTGGGTAGCAGTGCAGGAGTCCAGTGTGTCCAACATCTGGGAAGATGGTGACAGCAGGATCACTGGGACTGGCTGGCTTCTACCCTAGCTGAGAAAAGCCTAGGGTCATAGAGAGTCCCCATCTCAAAGAAATAGGTAGAGAGTGACAGAGGACACCTAACAAGTTGGTCTCTGTACCTGCACAAGTACATGTACTGGCACACATACATGTACATACACCACAGACTTGTGATATATTCTCACATGCAAATAGATAAAAATGAATCCTAATTTTTAATAATGTTCTAACAACAAATGATGAAGAAATGTTGATTAGAACTTTGGTTATTATTATTATAACTTTAGTTCAGTCATTATAATATGGTATTTTGTAAATGATGAAGGTTGAAGGTATGATGCAGATAATCTTTAATTTTTCTGAAAAAAAAGTTGAACTCTTCAGGTTATATTTTTTGTTTAAACTTTCATTCTCTATGTTGGGGTATAATTCATCACAGGATTAGAATTTATTATATTATATATTGTTTAACTTTATTTAAACACTATATTATATATTAATACATTTTAATGCTCTTTAAAGTTCTTTTTAAATGTTTGAGAATTTCAATTTTAAATGTTAGTTGACTTGATTTTCATTATTATTATTTATTCACTTAGTTCATATTTACCAGTGCTAGACACCTAACATTGTTCTTTATACATGCTAGGTAAACACACTATCACTAAAACACATTCTTAGTCCTTCAAAACATCTCTTAGATTTCTCTTGGGAGAAATTTATTTGTCATTTAAAAGTAGGTTGCTTAATTTTCTAGCATTGTGGTATTTTGTAGCTATTATTTTTCCAGTAATTTGTATTTTAATACTGTTGTCTAAGAACAGAAATGTATCCCTTTCATCATTTTCAGTTTGTTTAGCTACATTTTCTGGCTTGCAATGTGGACTCTTGGTGACTGTTCCACGTGAGTTTGAGAAGAATGCATAGTTTAAAGATCCCAGTTATATTTGGTTCCTGGGAGATCTTGATGAATTCCACAATGTCCCTTTTGATTGTTTCTACTTGCTGGATCAGCCCATTTGGGGTAGACAACTGTAGGAATCTACAGCTGTTAAGTTTTTCTAAAATCTCCTTAAAATTCTATCAGTATTTGCCCATGCACTTTAATGTTCTGCTGTTGGGCACAGGCACATCAAGCATTGTCATTTCTTCTTGAAAAACTCACCCTTTATGCAATATGATGATTCAATGCCATTGTTTGTCCTTTATGTGTTTCTGTGAAAGTTTTCTCTGTCTGAAATGAGTACATCTATCCCTGCTCTTTTCTTTAGTAGGGGCCTGGTATATTTTATCTATCCCTTCAACTTGATCTACGGTGCATATTTTTTGCACCTTTTACTTTATTATTAATTAACTTTGTTGTTTGACAATCTTATATATGTGATATGTTCTGATTATTCTCACCCCACCTTTTCTTATCCCCTTCCCACTCCTGTAAATTTCCCTCCTTCAAACAAGTTTCTTTCCTTCCATCTCTCTTTTTGTTTTGTTATATGACCCACTAGGTTTAAGTAGGGCAGTCTGTGTGATCATGTATTTGAACTGAGCACTGGAGCCTTGTGTGCTCATGGGTGGGTGCCACTGGAGAGCATTACTCAATCTCTGAAATTTCCCTGTCTTTGTGTTTAAGTTGAATTTTCTTGTGACAACATAGAGTTTGGTATTGTTAATTTTCTGGGAAGGGTCTTCCCCTATAGTCCAGGACAGCTTCAGACTTATAGCAAGCATATTTTCCCCCACTTCTTGAGTATTGACATTATAAGCATGTGCTATCACCTTTAGTCTGGGTCTTATTTCTTGATGCACTCTGACAGTGACATCTTCCTCTTCCTCCTGCTTCTTCTAGGTCAATAGTTCTCAACCTATCTAACACTGTGATCCTTTAATAAAGTTAGTTCCTCATGTTATGTTGATCACCAATCATAAAATTATGTCATTGCTACTCCATAACTGTAGTTTGTTACTGCTATGAATCATAATGTAAATATCTGGCATGCAGAATGTCTGATGTGCAACCCCTGTGGGGATCCCAACCAATAGGTTAAGACCTGTTGTTAGCTAGATGACCATTTTATTAGAGCTTAAAAGAAAAACACCCATCGGGTAGTGACATGCAGAGGCAGGCAGATCTCTGTGAGTTCGAGGCCAGCCTGGTCTACAGAGTGAGTGCCAGGATAGGCTCCAAAACTACAGACAAACCCTGTCTTGAAAAACAAAAAAAATAAATAAAGAAAAGAAGGAAGGAAGGAAGGAAGGAAGGAAGGAAAGAAAGAAAGAAAGAAAGAGAAAAACACCCAGGGCAGTAAAGTTAGCAACTGCCAATAGGAGGAGAATGAGAGATGAAAAAAAGCCATGTCACTGTCATACAGTTCACCATGTGATGTCAGGCAGCCATACAGAGAGGAGAGACATTCAAGGGAAACATTAAAACCACAGTGTTGTGGAAGCCCAAAGTATTAGGAAAAGTATGCCTAGAAGAGAGAGAGAGAGAAGAAAGGAAAGGTTAGACTTTTCTGAGTAAGCAGCATGTCTACATCAGAGACTGTGCTGGGAGTTGGGAATTATGGGAAG